CCCGACGCCCCTCATCTACATCATGGGCACGCACCGCGAAACCTTCAAGAGGAACAACGAGACCAAGTCGCGCACCATAACCGACTTCCGTCTCGTCATAAACCTGTCCAAATACATCCACGCGCACTACATTGCCAACAACTTCGGCACCATGTCCCTCACGACAGCTGAGAACAGCGAGAAAACGCACCGTGGCACGATTCTTAAGTGTAGGGCACCGGGCTCGAAACAAGATATTCAAGTTGGTGGTGCTCAGAAACCGGGCTTGACGGAATGGTGCCATAGATACTGCGCCTCCCCACGCGCACTTCGTATCTTCCGTGTGCGGCGCGACGTCACGGGTCTGGATGAAGCATACCTACGCTCCAGAATCGAAGGCATAATCCGATCTACAAACTACCGCGGCAACATCTCCATAACCTTCCCCGTCGAAGACGCAAACGTCGATTTCTACACGAGTCACCGCGTGAATGCTTGGAGGCTGAAGACATGGGTGCGATGGATCTTCTACTTGACCTTCCTGTGGATCTTCAGTTGGCCGATCTTGTTCTTCGCGACGCGGCGCTGGAGCGTTGTTAGAGCTGAATGGCCGTTTTCGCGAACGAATACTATGGGGAGGAAGGAGTATACGACTGTGAGTGAGGAGGAGTGGATGGGGGAGTGGCATGTGGCGATCAGGAGACTGGTGTTGGAGAGGTATGAGGGTGAGGTTAGTGAGGACATGATGAGGGCGGTTATGGCGAGAGGTGAGGATCCGCCTGTGCCAGGCACGTTTAGGAGTGGGCATGTTGGTGTGGATAATGCGGTGGGTGCTCTCACGCAGGGCTTCCAGGTTGCGAGGGCTTTGAGTAATGGGGAGGGAGTGGGGAGGGTAGGACAGAGTGGGTGGGGGTATGATTATTGAAGAGTGTGTCGGCTCAGATGCTAGGATGGCGTTTGGGTAATCTACAACATTCGGATCTTTGTTGCTGTTGGTCACATAGAGGCATGGAAATCCGTTGACTATTTCATGTTATCATACAACTGCTACCACAGTGCTCTCATAGAACAGTCAGGTGTCTACACTCTTCGATTGGGGACGACTCAGATTCTCCATGTTTCCATCAAATCGAGCATGTGATACGATAGCTACAGCAAACCTACCCAATCCCTTAGAATTTAAAAAGATAACTAACATGATCACTCTCACACCCGTCCACCCCATCACAGAGCGTACGATGACAACTCATCACCAACCAGACCCATCTCTCAGTGACTCTGACATCACAGCAGCTCTCAACATACTCACAAGCCTAACGGAAGCCACATTAACGAGCGATTGGCCATGTTTCAACCACGCTCGCGCCACTTTCATATGGCATCTGACAGCCGCACAGTCCGACGAGGTCATTAGGAGAATCTCGGATCTCAGCCGATCCGAACGGCCTGGGTATCCAACGTTAGAGCAATTGAAGAATTTGATATCAGAGCAAGTGCGCAACTTGATATCAGAGCAGGGAAACGCTTCTACGACTGCGCATCATGCACGCTACGAACAGCCTTCTGTAGAAACTGATGACGACGATCGATCGGACAGAACAGAACGGGGGGGTTCTTGAAATGGGAGGTGGTTAGCACGTAGTAATGGCCACATGCTTGTTGGCTCAGATTTTAGAATGGCGTTTGGGTTATGTTCAAATCCCTGATTGTCTCTTGTAGCGGCGTATCTCGCTACTCTAAATCGTTGATTTTCTGATATCACACCTAGAATGTCGATGGATGTAGTTAGTCTATGCCTCATGCGGTTCGTGTATAGAAGATTTTGCCTTTCAAAAACGTGAACATTACAGTAGCATCCCGAGGTCGTTCAAAGAGCCAACTGCCTACATTCTTCGATTGAGGCAACTCACATGCTTACGGTTTGTAGTTTATTCGATCTTGTGATTAGATGATTTCAGCAAACCTAAACGACCAAGCAGAGATTTAAAGCGACTGTTATGACCATTTTCTCACTCCCGCTCAATCATACCGCGCAACATAAGATGGCGACAAGTTATTACCCAGAATCACCCCTGAGTGTTGATCGCATCACGGCATTCGTAAATACACTTCTCAGCTTGACGAAAGCCATGAGCATCAGTAGTCTGCCCTGCTTTACGACTGCTTGCAACGCCTTTAAAGAGCAGCTAACAGACGACTAGCTCGATCATGTTGTCGGTAGACTCTTGCAGCTTGATATCACTATGCAAGATAGGTACAAACACATGGAGTGCATTGGGAAGTATCTTGAATATGACAAAGGCGTTGCCTTGGAATATTGTGAGTGACAGTTCAGTAAGGTAAACATTGTCGATTTCATACTAATCTTATTGGTTATAGTAAGCACCGGGGACCTTATGCACAAGTTTTGTCTCTATTGGGAGGTGATCGACCAGGCTGATGGCAAAGATTGGACTTGGAAGAGGTATGTCAGGACTGATGTACTTACTGGTCTGCTCGAAGACTGTGTTGCATGCAACATACTCGATGCGACGCGTAGTAAGTCTCCCGCGGAAGATAACATGGGTTACGAGCTGATGACTAGCAGCTTATAGAGGACCCCCTGGACGAGCAAATGTGGTTGAGATACATGCGGCATTGTTCATGAACAGAGAAAGAAACAGAGCGGTGTCAAACCCGACCCAGGATCGATGGCGTGAGCTGATTGCCAGTTATGCACTTCGGCAAAAGCGCAATACTTCATCCGAGCAGACACATACCCATGCGTCCGGGCAGGTTAATAGTTCTGCATCCGAGCAGATGCGAAATTCTGCTTCGGAGCAAACGCACTCTTTTGGGGTTATGCAGACGGACAACCAAGCAGGCTACGGATTTCAGCCCGCTGAAGCTGATAAGGATGCACCGTCGAACTGAAGAGATCGGAGTCTTTCTTAACATAGAAGGTATGTAGCACGTAGCGATAGCCGCATGCTTGAAAAGCACACTAGCAGTATTGTTGTGAGAATCTAAACATCAGCGTGTAGCCCTTGTATAACCGTCTTCGCCTCGTCCTGCAACCTCTTCACCAAGCTTCCAGCATCCTCAACACTATGCACAAGGCCTACCGCAGCCCCAGCATACGTAGCCAGTCTTCCTTCTGGACCCCACCCTGCATCACCCGACTTCTCAGCCTCTTCATGAAGCTTCTTCAATTCCTCAAACGGAACACCCGCTTGATGATCATGCCAGCTCTTATTCGTAATACCGCGCGGGCTATACTGCTCTGGCCACCCCACGGTACCTCGCAGATGATTGTACAGCATAGTCTTGGTAGTGCTCTGAGCACCATCCGTGGCGCGTACGACTTCGTTTTGATAACCTTTGCTGATCCGCGCTTCGGTAGATGCAAGAAAGCGCGTACCCATAGCCACACCTTGTGCCCCAAGAGCAAGTGCAGCAGCTACACCGCGACCATCGGCGATGCCTCCAGCAGCTATCAGTGAAATACCAGAATCGCGGATGCCATCTGCGACTTCAGGGAAGAGTGTCATGATACCCATGCCGTCTGTGGCTCTTCCGTGGCCACCTGCTTCTGCTCCTTGGATGACTAGCACATCTGGCGGATGGTCGCTTTTTGCAGCTTCTAAAGACTCCTTCAGGGTCCCGACCTGGATCCAGATATGGATCTCAGGTGCTACCTCCCGGAGGCGCGCCGTCCATTCATCCAACTCTTCCTGCCCATGTCGAGGCGCGAACAGCCACGCAGCGCAAGGATGGTGTTCTTTCACTGCCTTGGTTGCTGAATTGAGATCCCCATTCCAGAGCTGGAATCCAACACCCACCGGTAATCGCTTTCCAGCCAGATGTGCGTCTGGGAAAGTAGAGCCTGGTACGTCCTTCAGCAGTTTGCGCAATTTCTTCAGATCCGTAGCGGTATCTTCGGGTTTCGCGCCAGGCCCAATGAATCCTAGGCCACCTGCCTTGGACACTGCAAGAGCTAGGCGCGGACCAGACATGACGCGCATTGGCGCTCCGACGATGAAGGGTGATGTGATCCAAGGGAATACATTGCTGAGATGTTTACGCGCTGCACCGGAACTCATCGCGTTGCGTATTGCGTTCATCTAGACAACCTGCTGTGACCTAAGACGAGGTATGGAAAGGTTCGTGGGTGCGTGACGAAGAGAGCCGATGGCGTTGGTTCAGCACCAGCGTGCAACATCGTGGCATGCAGCGTTACATTGCCTAGCCATACTGGAAAACGATGGTACGTTTCCACGGAGAAGGCTCCTTCGCGGTGCTCGAGTTACGTCGGAGCACACGGAAAAGCACGAAAAGGACGCGCCCGCGTCTGGGGCGCGTTCAGATGACTAATGAGGGGATGGTGTCGGGCCGACTACTCATGCTAGCCGAACACACCTGCCCTCGAAGTCCCTACAACGTGCGTGGCGCTTTCGCACAACAACCTCCGTGACTGAAAGTGCCGTAGTAATGCCGAGTATCTGAGTGTCTATCACCTCTTGAGCGGCTACACTGGACGCGCTTTTCCTTCATCGGCGGAGTAAATCCACTCCGCTGAGTACCCACCGGATCCTCCGCTGTACTCGTCCGAGATCTGGCACCGACAGACATACTAGTCCTACTTATTAGGTTCAGCATAGATGAGAAGAAACCTTCCGCGGTGGTTTCTTGAGACATCCAGTGGAGACAAGTCGGGCGCTGTCGTTGCGTTGACATGTCAGAGATGTCAGATAGTCAGAAAGTACATAATCGCACCCTGGCTAGCCTGACATGTAGCAACAATATCCTAACTCCGCACTACGTACCCCATGCGACTATCAGTTAGTACCACCGTATAGACCGTATTTCGTGCTTTGCAACGGTCCTGGCCATGTATCTAGATTCTAGTCAAGTTGAAACCGGACGAACGAACGGCGTAGCTCTGCTGGTTTATATATCCATCATTGGTAGGATAAATCTTAGGTCTCACCATCATCTCACAACAACACATCTAACAACAGCATAACCCTCAAATTATCAACATGCCTATCAAAGTAGGACTCATCGGCCTCAGTTCCGTCACTGGCGAAATCTCCGCCAGTCCAGGAGACAGCTGGGCAGCCAGGTATATACACTACTTTCGAACTCCCAACCCCGATCCCAACTAATCCAAGCATGCAGCGCTCATCTGCCCTACCTCTTGGCCTCACCGCACTACGAGATCACCGCCCTCTGCAACTCCAGCGTTTCGTCCGCCCAGGCCGCTATCAAACGCTACAACCTGCCCCCAACCACCAAATCCTACGGCAGCCCCGAAGATCTCGCCCAGGACGCAGATGTCGACCTCGTTGTCTGCTCCGTCCGAGTAGACAGACACTACGCGCTCCTGATGCCATCCATCAAAGCAGGCAAAGACGTCTTCGTCGAATGGCCGCTCGCGTCCAACCTAACCCAAGCCCAAGAAATGCACGCCGCAGCCCAGGCCAGCGGATCCAAGACAATCGTCGGTCTGCAATCCCGGTCCAGCCCCTTCATCCGCAAGATGAAGCAACTCGTCGCGAACAAGACCATCGGTGAGATCCTCAGCTCCACGTTAACTTTCGAGATGGGATGGCCGGGTGACGTCGAACCCCCCGCCAACGACTTCATGACCAAGAAAGAGAGCGGCGGGAGTTTCCTCAGCATCATCGTTGGACACACCGCAGATGCCGTGTTCCACGCTCTGGGTGGCCTCGAAGAATGTTCCGCGCTATTGACCACCCGCTGGCCCGAGACCAAACTGCTCAAAGCAGACATGAGTTTCGACCGCGTCGCCAAGCGCGAAACACCCGATCACGTCATGCTGCAAGGCATTCTCCGTAACAACTCCGCGCCCATCTCCATGGCTTTACGTCACGGAAAGACCTTCAAAGACACTCCCGGTCTCGTATGGCGCGTGTTCGGCACGAAAGGCGAGATACGATTTACTTCTGCCACGATGCTGAATCTTGGTATGGGCGGAGAGAAGATCGAGGTGTATGATCATGAGAAGGATGGTGTGGAGATCGTGGAGGTGGAGTATGAGGAGGTGGTTAGGGAGTTGGTGCCGATGGCGAAGAATGTGGGGATGTTGTATGAGGGGTTTGTTGAGGGGAAGAGTGTGGAGGAGGGGTTTGTGGGGTTCAAGGAGGCGGTGGAGTGGCATAGGGCTATTGATCTGATGGAGAAGGGGAGTGAGGGGAGGAAGTGGGTGAAGATAACGGGATGAGGCGTATGGGACGCTGAGCAGAGTGGTAGACGATTGAGATGGGTAGAAACAGAGCACGTTCATTCAAAATCTATGATCTCGTGTGAGCGGATAATGCGCATATACGTTGACTTCAAGTTCTGTCTAGACTAAACCTCCCTCCCCCCACTTCCCTCCACATGGGTATCCAAAAAAGCCCACATGTCAACCGCCATAATCCATAAACAATCATAAAGGTTATCAGCCAACCTCAAAGTCAGCCGCGCTAGCTAGCGCCATGCTCAAACAGCATTCATTTGCATGAAGGGTATCCAAACCTTGCTATCCAAAATCAGAAAAAGCGCAAAAAGCAAAAAGCAAAAACACGGACCCTTCTCTCAGAAAGTTGGGCCGCCCAGAATCATCAGAATCGTAAAAACCACCAAACTTTCAATAAGCTTGATAAACTCCCTGCCGCATATGGTCAGGAACAATGTTCTTCTACTCTCGCAGCAAGCCGCCAATGCCGAGACCTACACCTTGATCGACGCGTCCGCGCTTCGGCGGACTTGTCTGAGTGCGGAGATCCGCTGTCGAGGGCATGCGGCCGCGCTTTAGCTCGCCGGCACGGGTTAGACCGGAGCCTTTCTTGACTTGGCCGAAGATTTTGCTTTGGACGAGGTTGGCTGGCTGGGCTGATGGTGGGGCGGACATCATGCCTTTGGTGGGTGGTGCTCTTTGCAGAAGGTTGCGTGCCATTTGGCTGGCCTGGGATTCGGGGACTTCGTCTTCCTCGCGGTCGGTGAAGGCTTCTTCTTCGTCGACGCTGGAGGCGGTGATGGTGGAGTTGCTGCTTTGGCGACGGGTGTTGGATGGTTTGGCTTGGTAGTGCGCTGGTGGTGCAGATTGGGGGATGTTGGTTGGCACGAAAAGTGGCGGTGTGCGGGGTACCTGAGGGTAGGCAGCTCTGCGGTTCGGGGTCTGTGGCAGCGATGACATGGACTGCGCGCCTCGCTGGTGACTGAAGCGTGATCGGGGTGCGTGTTGCCTGATGGGGGTGGTGGGCGCAGTAGCGACCTCCTGACTCAGCATCTTGTCGGCTAGGAGAAGAGCTTCGAAGTTGTTCTGACTTCTGCTTTCCTCGGACAGAGCAGGCGGCACACGGTTGACGCGGTTTCTGGGAGTCGGCTGATGAGGTGTGCCGTAATTCGAGCGCGGTGAAGATTGCTCGATCTGCTCAAGAAGAGGTGCGATGTGGTCGCGATTCTTACGAATCCTCGTCTTCAGGCGGTCATTCTCATCCAGCAGGCTAGCAAGCTCGCCTTCGCGGTGCTCAGTCAGACGTTTTTGCTGCTCAAGCATGTCGCGAAGCTCCTCGTTCTCACTCTGCAGCATCTGGTTCTGACGGCCCATCTCTGATAGCAAGACAGCATTGGCCGCATTTGCGGACTCTTGATAGGTCTGCTCTGGGGTGACCATGTTATTGCGGCGCTTCTCTTCAGCTTGCTGCAGAACGTCAAGCTCTCTCTGAGCCATGGCTAGCTCGACAGCCATGCGACTGGCAGACTCCTGACTCTCCATTACAGCCATGTTGTACTGAAGCTTGTAGTGGGCTGCGGAGAGTCGCATGTCGCGTAATGCATTGGAGATGGTGTTGACCATGGTTCTCAGCTCCTCAGCAGAAGCACTGTTGACTTGGTCCTGCGGGTAGAGACCTGCACCCATGTCTGTTAAAGCAGACGGCTGATTGGGCAGTTTGCTGGTTGGTGGGGGAGACGTGAGCTGTGGAGTCGGGGGAGTAGGCGTCCTCATGACTGCACGCATGTTTGGGATCTGAGAAGAGGGTGGAGGGGTCATGGAAGAGGTAGTCCGGGGTGCGGGGGAGGTAAACTTGTGGTCTGGGGATGCAAGTTTTGACATTGCGAGCGCTGCCGACTCAGCGGGCGATGAAGAACAAAGCTTGGGTGGTGTTTCGGGTTGTGCGTTCTCAGTCGTAGGCATCAACGAGTCCTGGTACTGCGTTCCGTGGGACTCCATTCTGCCTCAGGCGCAATTGGCCCAAGCAGTGCGACACACGTCAGGAAGATATGGGGGCGGTGTTTGGTCGAGAAGAATTGCGCTTTGTCCAGTCCAACTGTGACACGCGGGGGGAGAGGTGTCAAAGAGCTGGGGGAGCTGGCGTGGTGGGCGACGCGGTAGAGGTGACGAATACGATACGGTGGGTGCAGGGGTGCGCGTCGATGCGCGTTTGCCAAAAAGAAGTCGCGGGGGTTATGCGACCGTGATAGCGTGCAAACGGCAGCGAACAGGTGTTTGCAGAAGACAGGGCGCTCGTAACGGGTGTGTTGGGTGTGTGGGTGACGATGTCGTCGGTGCGGAAGGCGCGTGGAGCGAGGTTGAGGAAGGACCCGCCGGTCGTCCCTGCTCAATACCAACCGGCGCTAGGCCCGACCTGTCAGCGCAACAGAAACATGGCACTCCCTTTGGTTTCACGGGGCAACGGTCGCCTCCCGCTCGCTCAGACGCCCGCCTGCACCCGGCGCGGAGAATTGGTTCTCGAAAAGCAACCTGGCGACAAGTGGAGGACCCTTAATCTGGTTGGACGTGTGTTTCGCCTGTGCCGTCTTGCATGAACGACTTCCCAACCCTTAGGCGTTGCATCGTATAGCGCGCTGTCTGACAGCATCACCATGGACCAGTCCTCGTCCATTCCGCGCCCGTCTGGGATCCCACGGCCGGCACCGGCTTCGCGACTCCCTGTGCTCAGGCCGTCCAACAGCCATTCCCAGCTGCGCGCGCCCGCCTCGACGGAGCAATTGCGCAAGAAGCCGTCGCTGTCGTCCATCTCGCGCCCGACCACGTCGACGCTGCAGAAGAAGACGTCGAGAGCATCCCTTGCTTACTCCAGCAACCCCCTGACGGCCTCGAGCCCTGTGCCTGACAATACAGCCTCCAAACGCTCATCCATCGCGCCCTCGTCGAACCGCAGGGCGAGCGGCATTCCCAACTTCGGCCAACGGCGGACGTCGACCGCCGCCTCGAGTACCAGCGATGCGCCCGTCTTCAAGCGGCCATTTGCCCGTCCACCGTCGCGTCAGACGAACGCATCGCGGTCATCCTCGATCGCTCCCGCCAAGGAAGATGATACACTGGGGAGCCTAGAGGGCTTTAGGTCAGCTTCGAGAGCATCCTCGCGAGCAAGTTCGAGAGCCGGATTCCGCGACAACGAGCCCGAGCCGGAACATGCGGACTCAGCTATCGACGATCTGTCCAGTCCAATCAGTCCCGTGAAGCCGGAGAAGAGGAAGGGCCGCCCATCGCTCTCAGAACGCACTGCAGAGACTCTGTCCAACCTGCCATCCTCGCCAGCACCCGGCAAGGGAAGACGTAGATCGAGCTTCTTCAATGCCGACAACAGCATGGCCCCTCCGGTGCGGCCGGGATCTGCCATGTCGAACAGCAACGGCAGCCGGCCATCTACGAGTGATGGTGCCCCGCACCCAATACCAGCTACGCCCAAGCGGTTTGGTGCTCCCTCCAACAGGCTGTCTATGACCGCACCTGGAAAGAGAAGCGTTAGTGCAAATGTTAGCACACCCGCTGCAACGCCAAGTAGGCGTACTTCGATGCTACAGCCTATGTCGACTGTCAAGAAGCAGCCATTAGCTCCAGCGCAAAACCTACAGAACACACCTAAACCGCGTCCGCTGACGAATAGCAAGAGTCTCACGGGCATGCGAACACCCCGATCTCGGCCGTCCCTGAACAACGTCTTCGGTCAGGCAATATCACCGCCCGGCACTGCTACATCCTCACCAGCCCGGGATACTCCGGTCAAGAAAACACCTGATACCGTTCGAAAGGTTCCAAGCTCTTCCACTGCCCTGCGCGACCAAATTGCGAAAGCAAGAGCTGCGAAGAAGGCAGACGTCGAAGAAGCACCAGCTGAGGCACCGCCCAAACCCGCCAGCTCCTCCAATGCCCTGAGAGAACAGATTGCAAAGGCTAGGGCAGCTGCAAAACAGGCAAAGGCTGAGCCGGTGAGGAACAGCACTCCACCTACCGATGTCATCGTGCCCGATCCTGCCGAGATTGCGACCTTTGACTTTGGTCTCGATGACGATCCCTTCAACCAGCGCCCCAAGGGTGGCAAGTCTGTGCTGCGCAGACGGATCGATGCCGCCAGATCAGATGGCCGCCTCAACATCGCTGCGATGGGACTAAAGGAGATTCCTGACGACGTACTTTCCATGTACATTTACGACCCCAACGATACCAAGGTGGCCTGGGGCGAGGTAGTAGACCTGTCCACTATCCTGGCTGCAGACAACGAGCTTGAGATTCTTCCCGACAGCATGTTCCCTGATGTATCAGTTGAAGACATGATTGATTCGGATGAGGCTGGACCTCAATTTGGAGGTGTGCAGAGCATCGACTTCCACGGCAACATGCTGCGAGAGTTGCCCGTAGGCCTGAGACGACTTACTCAGCTCTCGAAGCTGAACCTTGTAAGTGCCATTGTCAGTAAAACCGACGATACCCTGTAGCTAACATTGCCTAGTCACGGAATAAGTTGCCTATGGAAATGTTGGATGTCATCGCTCAGATCCCCACCTTGAGGGAGTTGAAGCTGGCAGAAAACGATCTCAACGGAGATCTCTCATCAGCGATATGCGATCTCACAGCATTAGAGGTCCTCGAGCTGCAATCGAACAAGTTGACAAGCATACCGGCAGACATGCAGCGTTTGACGCAGTTGCGGACACTTAATGTGTCGGACAACCAGCTCCGATCCCTGCCTAGCGAAGTCTTTTCTGCAACCCTTGTCGAGCTTCAAGCATCAAAGAACCGTCTGGAAGGTACACTCCTTAGCCTGCACTCCGTACCTCATCTACAGGAACTCAACGTCGCACAAAACTCACTCACAGCTCTGTGCGATGGCGACGTGGTTGAATTGCCTGCTCTCAAGACGCTCAATGTCTCCACGAACAGACTTACGTCGTTCCCCGAAGTATCGACCTGGATCAGTATGACGACGCTGCTAGTCGGCGAGAACAAACTCTCAACCTTACCAGAGGGTTTTGTGACGCTTCAACAACTACGTACTGCAGACTTCACGGGCAACGATATCACTCAGCTTGATGAGAAGATTGCCTTGATGGAACATCTAGAACACCTCACTGTTGCAGCTAACCCGTTGCGCGATCGTAAATTTCTTACTATGGGCACCGATGACATCAAGCGCGATCTGGCATCCCGACTACCAGCGGAGGTCTCAGCCGACGTGGATGACGAATTCGAGAATGGTGTCACAGAAGAGGCCCAGCCAAAGTGGCAGCTCACACCGTCAGGAACGTTGGACCTCGCGGACAAGAGTATGTCTGAACTAGAGATGGATGAAGTCACCATGGATGTCATGGTCAACGGCCTGCGTCAATTGCATCTGCAGCGCAACAAATTCGAGATCATTCCGTCTATAGCGGCGCAGTTCGAACACTTGACATTACTCGATCTGTCTAGGAACAGCATTGAGGTTCCTCTGTCAGCACCCATCGAACTTCCCCAGCTGCGCGATCTCCGTCTCGCCAGCAACAAGATCAACTCTCTGACGCATCTGACAACATACCTCACTGCGCCTCTCCTCGTAACGCTAGATGTATCGATCAACCGTCTCGCCGGTGCTCTTCCGACGCTCCATGTAGCCTTCCCCGCGCTCACCACTCTCCTCGCATCCGACAACAGGATCTCCGAGGTCTCGCCTGAAAGCTTGCACAACCTTAGGATTGTAAACCTGGGCAACAACGATATCGAGCGTCTGGAACCGCGTATTGGCCTTCTACAAGGCACCCTGACAGGCTTCGAAGTGGAAGGCAACAAGTTTAGGGTACCTAATCGACAGGTGCTGCAGAAGGGCACTGACGCTGTTCTTACCTGGCTCAGAGACAAGATTCCCCGGGAGAGTTGGACGAGTGCGCAGAGTTCTAACACCGAGTTCTTCGATGCTGATGACGGTGGTTTTTGATTCTTGATTCTTCTTATTAGGGCGGTTTGAAGGTTCTTGCGGTGCCGCCGGGGTTGGTCTAGAAGGTACTTGTGCGGTTTCACTTCTTTTTGGATACATTTTAGCGTTTTGTAATGTCTTCTTGTACATTGTGTGCTCACTACAGGGGAGTACTATAGGGATGTTTAGATTATTGTGTTCAGTTTACTTCGAATGGATGTCGCGATATTTCCAAAAACAACCGTTCCCAGTCAATCGTATCAGAGTGATCAAGTTTCTCATCATCGCTGAAGGAGTGAAGCACCCAGTACAGCGATAAGAACGATGAGTATGCTCAAAGTAACCACACTCAATCGACCAGGACACCACGGTATAACTTTCGCGACAGAAAACTGTGTTCCAGCAGCGGGTCGTCATTGGTGTTGCAGCGCAAGCCGACCCATCACGCTAGTGTCGGCGTCGGTAAAACGTGCCGCCGAAAACTCGGTTGGCCCACTAGCGCTAGGAAGGCTGTCGAAATTGGCGAGCGAACTTCGAGATTTCTTCCTCGACAGCCGTACGATAACTAACCCACAGGTCAGCCATCGAGGTACGTCTACCATCTTCGGAGTGCGCAATCGAACGAGCGCAATCAAAACGAACTCGCCGTCGACACTGCGCGCTTCCACACAACTCCACGAGCGAAGGACGAAGGCTGATTAGGGCAGACAATCCGACACAATGGCGATCAAGCACAACCAGCAGATTCAGAAGAACCATTTCCACAAGGACTGGTGAGTTCGCGATTGGGACACTGGACACGTTAATGACATTGGGCTAACATCTCCAGGCAACGCTACGTCCGCTGCCACTTCGACCAGGTAATTCCCCTCTCACGTCGCTGAGAGTAGTGGCGCCTGTGTTCAGATTTCTGACAGTACGATAGCCTGGCAAGAAGAAGTCCAGACGCAATGCTCGCGTTGCCAAGGCTGCGAAGGTAGCCCCCAGGCCCGTCGACAAGCTCAGGCCCGTCGTCCGCTGCCCTACCATCAAGTACAACCGCCGTGTCCGCCCCGGCCGTGGTTTCTCTCTTGCTGAGCTGAAGGGTATGTTGCTCTACCCAATGGCGCAAAGCGCTCCTAACATATAGCAGCCGCCGGTATCCCCCGCAAGTTCGCCCGCACCATCGGTATCTCTGTCGACCCCCGCCGCCAGAACCTCTCCGAGGAGGGCCTCAAGGCCAACGTCGAGCGCCTCCAGGAGTACCGCAAGCGCCTTATCCTCTTCCCTCGCCGCAACGGCAAGACCAAGTCTGGTGACGCTTCCGCCGAGGACGTCAAGGCCGCCAAGAGCGCCGACAACCTCGTCCAGTCTACCGCCGCTGCTCTGCCCATCAAGAACGTTGTCCAGCTCGAGGAGGGCCCCATCGGCAACTACGAGGCTACCGAGAACGCCTACCGCAAGCTCCGTGACGCCCGCTCCGAGGCCCGCCTCGTCGGTGTCCGTGAGAAGCGCGCGAAGGCTAAGGCCGAGGAGGCCGACTCCAAGAAGAAATAAGCTACTCGCTGAAGTAGCTGCTTGGTTCTTTGCTATGGCTTACGACAATACAAAAGTCAGGATTACGATTCGGCAATGGGTATTCCCAGCGTGGGCTTTCCCAGCATGGGCGGCGTCATGGTTAGGTCTGTCAGATAAATGACAGCATGTGAATGATACCTAGTTTTGCAAATGCAAGCCGTGCCTCCCATTCATCTCTTCGTCATCTCTTCTACAGTCTCATCCAGCAATATCCACTCTTTGCCGTAGGGTACGATATGATCATTCGTGATGTGTCATTTGACGGAGCAGTATGAAATTGACATTCACCTCGAATTCTAGTATTGATGATCACCTTGCGCAAACGGACGTCGCTAGCGCGGTTCTTGTTGCTATGAGCTCCCCCACCTCACGCCGTATCTGTCACAACACCACAACACCACGCAAAACGTGCAAGGTACAAGATACGAAGTCTTCAGGCACTCGCTTGGTAAGTCCTCCCAACAGTTCCCAGTAAGCATGTAGGAGGCACGCTCCCGCAAGGGTAATTCCTGCGCGCTCAACTCCTACATCGTATACATCTTAGTGTTGTATTGGCATCCACGTACACCGTGAAATGCCGATGCATCCTCCTCACATCGTTCAGATCTGGGAGATATTGATGCAGAGCCCTACAATTACTGACTGTTGTCCAGACCTGAACGTCTTTTTCGCTTTCACGCCTATCTCAACATCACGGTAACTGTTAGTCTCTCTGACCTTTCCCCCTCGAAAAGAAATCAGACTCAAATCCAAAATGGTGATCAAGGCCAAGAATCACCCCGCCACGGCACAAGCAAACGAAGAACCGTGTGATCTCAGCGATCAATCAAGCACCAACACCAGCCCCATCATCTACACGCCCCCAGACTCCGGCACCGAAACCAACGCCATGACATCCTCAGCAAACAACAAGGGCGCCTCACCTTCTCTCCAAGCTCCCGCACAGCCAGACGATGGCGGTGGTTCCTTCACCATCACTACAACTCACGGTCCCAAGCCCGTCCTTCAGGACCCCAGTGCCGCCAATATTAGCAAGCGCGAGTACATCTACTTCCTCCCTTACCCTCTGCCGCCAAACACCGAGATCCCTTACTCCATCCACCTCCCACAGAAGAACCCGCTGAACCTACCGTCTCACCAGTTCGAGCCTACATCTACTTTGGTACTGACAAGCCCCAACCACACCTTCGTCGACATTCGCATCTACAAGTCGTTCTCGAAGGACGCCGTCAATTCCAACAGCGCTGATCCTGCGCCCATCAAGGAGAGTACCAACGTAGGCAACTCCGCACACCTAGACTGGGCCTTCACCGGCACTTCCACCAGCGTACCCATCACGCCTCCCCCCACCGGCCCACAGCACGGGAAATCTGCCAAGAAGCTCAAGGAAGAAACTTGGGTCAACGTCACACACTCTACTTGGACTCACTGGCTGGACTCACGCTTCCCGGTCGGTCACAAGAACATCCCGGTAGACGAAGGCGATATGTATCCCATCGCTCCCGGATTGACGCTGGAGCATGGACACGGATACCATCCCGCGCTTGGTGCGGTCAAGACTCACGAGGAGATGTGGAGGGACGTCGACGCCGTATCTACGAATGAGAAGGGAAGTATGGTATGTGTGGTTATGCGGTGCCAAGCTGATCACGCGGGGGTTAGGGGCGTGGTCGTGAGGTTGGGACAGTACTGCCAGGGTATTCTCATGTGGGGTGATAAGGTTACTGTCGAGCGGTGGGAGTGGGAAAATGGCGAGGGAAAGACTGCGAAAGGGAAGGTTGGTGGGAACGGCGGAAAGTCAGAGGTGGAGAAGTGGAACAGGACTGTCAGGGTTGGTGATGGTTTCTTGCCTTGTGGCGTTACCTTCAGGCCTGAGATCTTGAGTGTGGGTGCGGTTGTCAAGTTCCAGGACTTTGAGTGGATGGTGGAGGAGTGTTGGGAGTGGAAGTAGATGGGTTTGAGTGTGGGTGAGATGCGAGTACTGAGTGGATGAAGATGAGAAGGGTAATGGAGCCGAGTCGTCGAAGTTGAGATGGACTTTGTATGACAGTATGACAAATGAATGACGAAGAGTAGGCACACGTAAATGCTACCAATAGCAATGGAGATTGGTGTCTTGCAGATTGCACAAACGCTGTCCTGATCGCTAAGCCCACGCCAAACGGTGAACGCGACACTTGAGCTCAGACTTAAGAGCGTACGTCAACCGCCATTGCAGACTTCCCCGCAACAAAGAAAATATAATCAGCATCGACAATCGCAAGGTTTCGGAACCTTCAATGCGATACCCTGACCTCGACTCGGTGAAGTAAGGCACACCATCATGCACCTCACAAGCTGCTTCCTTCTCCTTGCATTGTGGCGGCCCCGCACCCTGGCCTTCTCAACTACGGACCTAATCTGGTCCAACGTTCAGCAATCTCTAGGACCTCAAAGCGATGTATTGAAGAGTGATGAGACTATCATCCTGGGAGCAGGTGTCATTGGCCTCGCGACGGCCTACCAGCTCGCACTCGCTCACCGAGAGGCTGCCAATGCGACATCCAGGCCACCTGGAAAGATCATCGTCGTCGAACGAGCTGCGCACATCAGTCCTGCTGCCTCCGGTCAAGCGACAGGCGGACTTGGAGACTTTGGCTTCGCGAGCGGTGTCGCTGATTTGGGCGCTCTGTCCTACAGGCTGTTCCAGGAACTTGCTCTCGCGAATGTAATGGAGGAGTTTGGCTTTAGCGAGTCTACGATCTATCGCATCATTCCAGACGACTTCACGGGTACACCTCAGCCGTCTGACACTTGGGGTCCAAGTCCTCCTGTTGAACAGCCTTTGTCTGCGCTCCCTGACTGGATCAGACCCAAGAGCGACTGGTCAGTGCAGCGCATGGCTGGTCCCCCTCACGCATCGCATCTGTACGTTGGCCTTCTGATCACAATGGCTTTTGGACTGACTGATTAGTGATCCAGCTCAATTTTGCCAGTTTCTCTACAAAGAGTGCAAGAAACTGGGCGTCGAGTTCATCTTCAACGCGAACGCAACATCAGTTCAAACCGCACAAGGAGCGAAACATTTCACAAGCATCCAGATCAAGCAACAAGATAGCGATCCTCTCAACATCCCCTGCAAAAGCCTAGTCATAGCAGCAGGACCCTGGTCCCCACACGTCTTCTCAACACTCTTCCCCAACGCATCCCTCCAACTCCCAATCAACTCCACGTCCTCAGCCGGAAACCACTTCCGCGTCCGCACACCCAATTGGAAGCCAGTGGACGACCAAAAAGGAAGTCAGCAAGTCTTCTTCCAGAGCGAAGTTCCAGGCAAACAGGGTCTGGACATCACCAGTTTCCCGGGAGGTGAGTTGTACGTAGGTGGGTGGGGAGCGGCACCGGAAGAACTTCCTGAACTTGCGGAGGATGTGCACGCGCAGCTGGGTGAGATTGAGAGGATGAAGGCGGTTGTGAAGGGGTATTTGAGGGTGCCGGAGGATGAGGAGTTGGGTGTGTTTAAGGTGGGGAGGTGCTATAGGCCGCTTGCGGAGTTCGGACATCCTATTATAGCGAAGGTGGACTGGGAGTTGCTCGGCATGGACGAAACCTCCGTTGAGGCGCTTGGTTCATCAGAGCAGGAAGACGCGTACCCGGACGATCGATACGGTTCGGGGGGTTTGTTTATAAACACAGCCCACTTCGATGATGGTGTGACATTGTCGCTTGGGAGTGGGAAGGTTATGAGTGAGCTGCTGTTGGGTTTACCACTTTCGGTTGACATTTCGGGACTTGGATTGAGCTGAGCACGCTCTGCTGTTTCACTGATGAGGAGCGGATAGGCTGTTGATATGTAGGTCTCAGTTCATCCAGAGTTCATCATTTTCGTTCCGAATCTCTTACGGAAAGTCTTCAATCTTTTAGAGGCCTCTTGATCGTGCGATAGAATTTGGGATCCACAAGATTCACATTGACGAAGGGAAATGACCAGTCCTAGCCTAATCGTGGTTGTAGGCCATCAGCGGCGGCGGCAGAACTACGTCACAGTGACTTGGGGTTGCACGAGCTCCGGTAGTGAGAGGCGCGATAATGCAGCATGCGACCTATGGCTGCTTAGTGAGCCGCTCAACTATAGGAAAGCCAGACACGATAGTCCTCCAAGTGAGGAAGTGAACCTGTTAACAGCGAAGAATTCAACCAAGTTGAGCAAGACAAAGTCTGTTAGACAATAGCAGCATCAAACAGAGCCACGCTTGTACCTCACAGGTTTCAAGTATCCACTGCACCGAAATTCATAGCAGCGCAACAGTCTCTTCGTTTGCTACCAGCTTCTTAGCGTGTCGCTTCGCTACGCTAGGTAACCGCCAGTCTACCGCCCCTTGAGAGTGCTCCGCCAAGGTTGCCTAATCAACAACAAACAGTTCTGGAACTATCTGGTCATACGCGGAGCTTTCCCCTTCGCACCCCCAGTCACCTCCAGCCACCAGCCGAACCTCAATCTCAAATTCAAGCGACACTGTGCTTTTGCACACCAAAAAAAAAATGCAGGCTAACGTGGGCAGCACCGACGTCCTGGATATCCTCGAGAAAATGCCGGAGCAAGATCAACTTCGCATCCTGGAGTTACTCCCAAAAGAGAATGCCGTCGCCGCTCTACAAGCCCTCCTCCGTGAGCGAAACAAGTTAAGAGGTAAGTACCACATTGACAATCCCAGTCATTCGCTAATCAAGACGGTCAGAACCAGAGCAGAATCAAGGCCAAGAGCACCCGCCACAGAGCAGGTTGAGAGGTGAGTACCACATTGACAATTCCAGCCATTCGCTAATGACGACGGTCAGAACCGGAGCGGAACCAGGTCCAAGAGCAAAACCCACAGCCAGTAGCCGAGCCAGAAGGCGATGTCACCGCTGGTGCGGAAATACAGCTAGTGGACTTAGACACCTACATTCGTTTTCGAAACGAGGACGGTGGCGCTGTTCCCCGAGACGTTCATGATCTTCCGCAACCTGTCCAAACAGCCCTCGAAGACCGCTTCAAGGCTATGTGGGACTGCAAAGAGGGAAGGGTCAAAGAGTACGGCAGAATCACCTCGAAGCCAGAGTTGTACACCGACAAGGAGTATTGCATCCGCAACCTCATCATCCGTGGTTCGAGGGTCAGGGGCACCATGTTCGGGCATGGCGGCAAGCACAAGAAATCCGCGTGCGATAAATGCATCAACAGCGGCCACCCCTGCGCCCACGTCATCAAGGTCAACGACGAGTTCGGAAAACTCTTCGTCCCTCTACCTCGAGCTCTGAGGAAGGGGCAGAGCTGGGACGAGCTCGGGTACTGGGTCGTTGAGAAGTGAGACTTGGGAGTGACAGACTGTCTGCTGAGCGAAGTAACGTGCACCTTTCGTTCGCTATGATGGTCAGGATTTCATCAGCTGTCTTCGGAAGGTTCCATCTCTCAGAAGGCACTTTCTCTGCAGGTTGCGATGAAGCAACAACACCTAAGAGAGGATTACATCAAGCGAGGGTGACCAAAACAAAACTTCCCAGCATGGGGATCGTAGGGTAATTGAATACACTTACGAATATCCTGACTGTGATGAGTGTAGACCACACCTTGATACCTTGATAGCCGCCATCGCCTGTGTTTCGTTCAAATGATGAGCACTGATAATCCACGCTCAGAACGTGTGAGCGCGTTCATGTACATCTCCGATCACCCTCAACGTTGCTCTGCTCCAGTCAACACTATGTCTTCCTCGACCACGGTGAATAGTATGAATGGCACTGCTCGAGCCGATGGTCTACTGGGCGACCGTCACAAGAATATTACCGTGTCGATAAAGGGCGGCCGAGATATGGAAAGATTACGAGACGATATTAGAGGCGTCTGGAGTGTACGTGGACAGGCTTATCTGCATCGCGAGCCTGATCGTACCTAACACGTTCAATCATACCACAGGTGGTCGGCTGACGGACACGGCGGATAACTCTTGCAGAACAACTCGCTATCCTTGTGCGCACTTTGTTGAATGCAGCGTAGATGCTATAAATATTTCTTTCGTGCCGTGGGCCCCGGATAGGCGGATGGGCAGGATTTGTGATGAGCTGGACTACTGGATAGAGGAAGCAGCGATTGTAAATGATCCCAACTCTTGTGGTCAGCCGGAGCAGCAATTAGGCACAGATTCAGCGCGCCGTGACGCCAGGATCAAAGAATGGGAAAGGTTCTGGGGGAAGGGATTGTAGACTAATAGAAACACACTTACAGATTTCTGAAATGACGTGAGCGTAGACTGGCACTGACTCCCTGAACGCCGATGCTATGCAATATGGAAAAGTCTCGATCATGACCTCGTGTTGGATATGAGTATAGTGACAGTGTCAATGTCAACATGAGAACGATGAACGCGTGTCTTTCAAACAGCATCCACAGCGATCCATCCACCACTCCAGATGCCATCCGTCTTACAGCCAGGACAGCTCGCAGGGTTGCATCCGGTTGGCTTTGTGAAGTCATACTCCTCCCATGTAATATCATCTGCCTTTGCATCATCCGCCATGACTGTGTCCTCTTCCTTTTTTCCTTCGGCCTCTGCAACAGGCATCGCAGCCGCAACCGGTACTTCAACGATCTTCTCAGGCATATCCTCCGTCTTCACAACCACCACCTCAGCCTTCTCCTCCACCCCATCTTTCCCACCCACCGCAACCCCAACTTTCTTAAACCTCCCCCCTGCCGCGGCACCACCACCACCACCCCCAATCTTCGTAAACCGACTTCCCACCCCCGGCTTCTTATTCGCATTCTCCACGTCTATACTGCGCATCTCCAGACCCTGTTTCGGTTTGTTGCTCTCGGTATCGTTCGAGGCAGTCAGTTTCTTCATGTCGGCGAGGCGTTGGCGGTGGTTGTGGTCGTAGGAGCGGAGGTGGTTTTCGTAGTCGAGTTGCCGTGGGTAGCCTTTGTCGCAGATTGTGCAGTTGAAGAGGCGGACGGCCGCTGGGAGGGGGTTGTTTCGCTGGGAGGGGGGTTAGTGATGCGTGGGTGAGGGTAGGGCTGGGGGAGACGTACTGGTGGCATGGTCGCGTCTGTGTGAGGTGTACCGCGTTGAAGGGATGTGAGCAAGGTCCTATATCACCAGTGATAGCGACTCCGTAAGCGATTCGTCGGATCGTGTGGTAGCGGGGTCGTTGGGTCGTTCAGTCGCGTAGTCGCGCGTGGTGATAGCAACATTTGGTGTTGCGGCTCAACAGCACGCGCCTCGGCTCAGTGTCAGCATGCAGCGCCCCACTTATATCTTCACCGAATCAACGTCATTCCATGTCTCAGCAACGTAGCATTTCCCTTCCCTCGCAACACCACGACACGACCCACAAGATGGAGAAGAGTCCGGGTCTCCCACCGGTAGAAGACGAAGAGATGGGCGTCATGGGCCTTACCGAAGTTGACCCCTCGCCTGTTGACACACCAGAAGAGTTGAAAGTAAATCAATATTTCCCGGTTCCAGATGAGGAACGGCCTGAGAAAGAGACGGAAGAGATGAGAGGCATAAGGAGGATGAACACTTTGGGGTTGCGGTTAGGTGATCATGGACCTGCTTGGTGGCGTACGTCTCCCCACAATCTTTGATCCAAGAAGCTACAATGCTGACAACCACCCCCCAGTCCTCCGCATACAAAAGTACTCCTCGTACACCTTCACCGCCTTCGCCGCCCTCCACATAACAAACGTCTCCATAATACCGCTCGCCACACGCTCCGTCCTCGAATCAAACCGCTACCTCCTGCTCACACGACCATACTACCAATCCGCGCTCACGGAACCCCTCCTCGTTGGCCTCCCCCTCGTCGCACACGTTACCTCTGGAATCGCACTACGGCTATGGCGAAGGCGACAAGCGCTGAAACGATATGGTGCGGAGACACGAACGGATAAGCGCACGATTCCATGGCCGGCATTGAGTGGAACGAGTGCGTTGGGTTATGCTCTTGTGCCTTTTGCTAGTTTCCATGTCTGGACTACGAGGATTCTTCCGTTGTATGCGCATGGAGATTCGTCGCTGATTAACCTGCAATATATCTCCCATGGGTTTGCACTACATCCTGCAGTTTCCTTCACCGGTTTCACAGCACTGGTGGGAGTTGGCGTGTGGCATTTCGTCTGGGGTGCAGCGAAATGGTTGGGTTTCGCACCCAGCCAGGTCAAACACACGGAAGAGAACAGAGCGTTGATCCGGAAGAGGAGGTGGTACACTATCAACGGCATTAGCGCGGCTCTGACAGCACTATGGCTAGCGGGCGGTCTGGGTGTTGTTGGACGAGACGGCAAGATGGTGGGCTGGGTAGGCAAAGAGTATGACGAGCTGTACAAGTACCTTCCCATTGTAGGGCGATGGGTAGGACAGTAAGAGGAACGTGTGGTGCGAGTTTTGCATTGTAGTATACCCTTGATAGCGCATCGACAACAGTCTACACTTTCTCGCAAGAACACTCGACTCCAGTTTCTCAGTAGTTGATGTATATCCTTCCTTCCAGCGGCCGCAGCATTTGTCCCGTTGCATTCCCATACGAACTCACAAGCAGCTTTAAGCCCTCGACATCATACTCTATCTCCCGTTCTTCTGTTGTAAAATTCAACACCACAAGCGCCATCTTCCCCTCACACCTCTTCCCATAGATAAACAGCTCCTTCCCCTCCGGATCCACCAACTCGAACGACCCATACACAAAGACATCTTTATGCTCCTTCCTGAGCTTCAGCACATGTTTGTAGAACGAAAGCACACTCCCCTCATCCTTCTCCTGCACCGCCACATTGATACTACCATACTCATCATGGACCCTCATCCACGGTGTCCCCGTAGAAAACCCACTGTTGATACTGCCATCCCACTGAAACGCTAACCGCGCATGATCCCTAGCCATGCGCTGTAAACCCCTCTTAAACCTCTCTTTACGCGTAGGATCCGTGCCGTTCTCCGCCAACCGCACGGCTTCGGCCCAGTAGTTCTGGCTTTCGACGTCTTTGTATTCGCTCTCTATGTCCCATGATGACGGCGCGTTGATCATACCGATTTCCTGGCCTTGGTACAGGAACAGACTGCCCGATTGACCGATTAGCCACAAAGCGAGTAGTTTGCCGCTGGCGACTCGCCACTCGGGTGCGTCGTTGGCGAAGCGGGAGATGCTGCGGCCGTTGTCGTGGTTTTCGTTGAAGACGGTTGTCCATGCGTCTGTACCTTCGATGAAGCATTGCCATTTTTCTACTATGCGCTTCATGTCTGGTAGTGTCCAAGTAGCGTAGTCGTACTTATTGTCAGAGCCTGGTGGACCTTGGCCGAGATGCGTGATGTCGAATTGGAAAACCATGTCTAGTTCTTTTTGTGCGGCGCTGATGTAGGGGAGGACGGAGGAGGGATCTGGACATAAGGAGAGTTCGCCGACTGTTACGACGGGTTGGTTGTCGTAGGTGCGGTAGTGGGAGAGGACTGTGCGGTTCATTTCTTTGATGAATTCGTGTATCCGGGGCCCGTTGCACCACATCTGGGCGGCGGGTTGGATGGCACTGGTTGGATCGGTGATAGGTGCATCGGTAAATGGGAGGACTTTGGAGTATTTATTTACGGTGTCTACGCGGAAGCCGTCGATGCCTTTGTCGAGCCAGAAGCGCATTGCTGAGTCGTAGATCGCTTGTCGGCAGCCTTCGTTCTCCCAATTTAGGTCTGGTTGGGATTTGTCGTAGAGATGAAGGTAGTACTCTTCCGTATGCTCATCCCACGTCCAGGTTCCACCGGCGAAGTATGAGCGGTAGTTGGTGGGCGGCATGCGATTCCCTTGCACGTCGTAGCGTGCTGGTTGCCAGAAGTACCAGTCTCTTTTCGGATTATCTCTAGAACTCCGGCTTTCCTGGAACCAAGCGTGCTGATCGCTTGTATGGTTTACAACTAGGTCGAGGATGATCTTCATGTCGTTATCGTGGCAGGCTTTGATGAGTTTCTCCACATCCTTGACAGTGCCGTACGGTGCATATACGCCTTCATAGTCGGAGACATCATAGCCCTAACATATTGAGGCGCGAGGTCAGCGACGGTCTATGCATTTCATACATCGTGTTCTTACCATATCAATCTGCGGGGAGTCGAACATGGGCGATAGCCATACCACGTCTACACCAAGGGACGCAATGTAGCTGATCTTCTCAAGTATACCCGGGATATCTCCCCATCCATCGCCATCACTGTCCTTGAAAGATGCCGGGTAGATTTGATAGAATGTTGCTTCCTTCCACCACACGCGTTTGTGGTAAGAGAGGTCTACATGTGGTGACATGATAGTTGACCGAAAAATTGTTTGTACTGAGCTTAGGGTATCTGTGGGTGTAAGACTTGATGGGTGCAGGCTATTCGTAAGCAGATGTGATCCATGGATCGATGAGAAGTTACTGATGGAAGCTGGGCAGTAGTAAAATGATGACCGCTTGGTGTACGGAATGGGAGATGAAGGAGAGAAGTCGTTGCAGGCTCCAGAAAACTACACTTTGGTCTGTACTCCGTCCCAATGATCATGGTCATGCAGTCCATTGTGATGTCAATTCTTGTTCGCCTTTATGGTGACTGCTTGTAAACGGTTGGCACCCTGGTGCGAGTCGTGTTAGCCCCGCAATGTGGCGTCCGTGTTCCTTCCGTGTTGCTTCCGCATCGCCTCCGCCTTGGCTCCGTGAAAATCAACTGGTTCGCCGAACCACCATAGGCCATCCGCGTTGCTTCCGATCATTCACTAATAAGAGAACTCGTAATTACGAGAAATTGGCGTTCTCTGGTGCTGTAGAAGTAATTTTGGGCGTAGTATGAGCGATTTCCACACTGAAGCTGGGGCACCATGGGGAGGTCCGAGGTGCTGGGTCCTCGCTAACCCGCATCAAAGGCAACCCTGTTCTGACCATGATCATCTGTGCTTGGAGATGGTTATAAGCCTGGCACGCCTCCTCAATAACATGGCATCGCTTCCAGTGTCTTTCGACCGAGTTGCCACTCATTGCGACAATGACAAACAAGGACTTTGAGCAACCTACAGCGACACAGCTCGCAGCGCCGAATGAGGAGGCACAACATGCAGCCGACGATGAGAAATCTATGAGCCTCGTTCAGGCGATCAGACTTTACCCAAAAGCCGTTGGTTGGTCAGTCGTTCTGTCGAGTGCTCTGATCATGGAAGGCTACGACCTCGCATTGCTGGGAAGTTTGTACGGCAGCCCTCAGTTCAATCGCAAATACGGAGTTCTTAACGCAGCTACTGGCAAGTACAGTGTTCAAGCCAGTTGGCAGAGCGCACTGTGAGTATCAAAGACACGTTACCCGAGGTTTTGTTGTGACTGATAGCGTCAGATCCAATGGAGCACGAGCTGGCGAGGTCATCGGTCTTGTCATCAACGGCTTCGTTAGCGAGCGGTATGGGTATCGGAAGACCATGATAGGTGCCCTGATATCGATGACTGCTTTCATCTTTATCTTGTTTTTTGCGCCCAATGTTCAGACTCTGGTCATTGGCGAAGTCTTCTGCGGGATCCCGTGGGGCATGTTCCAGACCCTCACAACGCAGTATGCATCGGAAGTTGCACCTGTGCGTCTGAGGCCGATTCTGACCACGTTCGTCAACATGTAAGCATTTGCATTCGCCTTTTCCGAGCCCGAATACTAACGACCTTCCAGGTGCTGGGTGATGGGACAATTTATAGCTGCAGGTGTAAACCGCGGCTGCGTCCAACGTTCAGACCAATGGGCGTATCGTATCCCTTTTGCCGTACAATGGGTCTGGCCTATACCGATCATGGTCGGTGTCTTTCTTGCACCTGAAAGTCCGTGGTGGCATGTTCGCAGAGGCGACAAAGTAGGCGCTAAAGCTGCATTGCTTCGTCTGACCTCGCCGGAAAAGGATCCGAACTTCAACGCCGACGAGACGATCGCCATGATTGAGCATACCAACGAAATGGAAAAGAACATGTCAGAAGGCACCCGATGGACGGATCTGTTCAAGGGAACCGATCTCCGACGAACCGAGATCGTATGCTTCACCTGGATTGCTCAGACGATCTGCGGGACCAACATCATGGGTTACTTGTCAGTATTAGACGTGAAGTCATTAGGAACTCTGGGCTAACATCAAGTAGCGCATACTTCATGCAGAAGGCGGGCCTCCCCACCGTACAATCCTTCAACATGTCGATGATCTCACTCGCCCTTGGCCTCGTCGGTACTGCTGGCTCGTGGTACCTCATGCAGAAGTTCGGTCGACGAACGATCCATTTCTCCGGCGGCTGCACACTCTTCATCATCCTGATAATCGTCGGATCATGCTCTTTCGCCGGTACTCAAGCCTCGAACTGGGCTATTGGCGCGGTGTTGATTCTCTTCGTCTTCGTATACGACTTCACGATCGGTCCCGTCACCTACTCAATCGTGTCGGAGATGTCATCCACAAGATTGAAGGCCAAGACGATCGTACTCGCGCGAGCGCTGTACAATATCTCGAATATTGTGGTCAACGTATTGACGAACTACCAGCTTGGAGATGCCAACTGGGCCTGGGGAGCGAAGACGGCGTTCTTCTGGGCAGGTACTTGCGGCTGCGTTGTGGTGTGGGTGTACTTCAGGCTCCCAGAACCGAAGGGTCGGACATATGGAGAGCTAGATATGTTATTCGAGCAGAGGGTCAGCGCAAGGAAGTTTGCTAGCACGCAGGTCGACCCGTACGGGCATGGGCGTGTCGCGGATGAGAAGGCTGCTGTGGGCTCAGAATGGAAGGAGTGACTAGCCATGGTAGCGGTGATCAAGTTATGGTTTTACGCGTCTCGAACGCTGATAGGTTATGTTCGCAGACGGTTGTTCGTGCTGGCTATGTCTTTCCTCTACGCTGTACGGGTGACGCGCATTTGCTTAGAGATTAGTGTGTTGACATGACGTAAGCAGCCTCGGCATCACGCGACGCGTCTGACCAGCCCGCGGGCTACCTCGGGCTGCGGCCACTCCACACAACGCCTCCTCACATCTCTAATCAACATCATGAACCCCACGTAGACACTCGAGCTTGATGCAGAACACCGTGTCTAGGACAGTCCACCGGAAACAAGTTGCAAAGGCATGTGACCCGTGTCGCCGCCGCAAAACCAAGTGCAATGGCGCGCAACCTTGCGCAGGATGTTTATCGGCAAAATTAGCATGCACCTTCAACGCACCACGGGGTCAAGGTGGTCGCACAGGTTCCAGGGCTAACGTACTCAACGAATTGAGAGCGATTCCCCATAACGATGCCGACGTGTCCGACCCACAGGATGCTGCCCCGACCGCGGTCATTACCACCGCTGTGGAATTGACAAGGGAAGTCTTCAAAACGTTAGTCGACGTCTACGAGGAGCGCATATACAGGATAGTAGCTCTCATACCAGCCGAAAGACTGCGAGAAGAGTTCATGCAAATGCAGACTTCGCCGACATCTCGACAGCTCATATATGCCTTTTGCGCATACATGGCAAACTTTGCGGAAGCCTCCACTAATGTCAATTGCGGATCTTCACAGTCGTCACAAATGGATTCACAAACCCACTACTTAGATCATACCTTGCTCTCGCTACAGCGAGATAGGATCACGCAACTTGACCATCGATCAGTTTACACCTCCTTCTTTCTGTATGGAGCTTACGCTGGCCGAGGCGACTATCGTCAAGCGTGGTTCTATTTGAGAGAAGCAACAACCTTGTTTATGATGCTTAAAGACGAGGACAGGGATTGGTTCGACATAAAGACAAGGACACGGCTGTTTTGGATTCTGGTAGTGTCAGAAAGGTACGCTAAATACTCCCCGTTTTCCCCACGTCTGTTCTGCCACTTTGATGCATTGCGGTTCATCATATGCACTTCTGACTTGACGATATCATTTGTCCCTTTCTCGTCTATCCAGTCCCACCCGTGAGCGAAGACAGCGACAATTCGCAGTACCCATGGGTATCGTAATGAATATATTGCTTACTAGTCGTTAGGGCGCATGGCGTTCGTAGGAATAGGCCCATAACATTATCTGTCACTTCCTCAAGCTACCCACTCGATGGCCATGATGATTTCGGGTTGCTCCATCTCGCATCAGTCTTCCGACCGCTCGATGAAGTCTTTTTCGCAGTGTGGAACGGTGCTGCGCAAAACTGTAGTAAAGAGTGGTTGATCCAGCTCGAGAACGATGTTCGCACCGCGCTGCCTACTGATCTCGAACTTTCGAACGAAGAAATTGCAAATGTTCGCATATCGCAGTTCTGGCTACAGATCAAAATGTGGGAGCTGTTTCCCCGCTTCGGGTTTCTCTCCACAGAGTCTGTTTACGATTGCTTAACATTCAGATACCCCATTCTGGTTGGCAAAGACTTGACCATTCTCTCGATGAAACTGCCTATTCAGAGTCTGCAAATACATGGCGTCGGCATGGTACGTCATTCAGTCGCGGGCTTATCTTGTTGCTAACACCACTAGACGGAGAAGGTATTCGACATAGCCTGCGCTTTAGCGGACGTACTTCATTTCGTGCCTCGCTCTGCATCGCATACCGAACTCAGCCCGCCAGATTACTTAACTCAGTTGATGCTGTTGATCGCAAAGTTACCGGGCGGCTCATCAAAGTTCATACCTCTGCTGCTAGCCAAAGTCAATGAACTACTTCCGGATCTGTTGGAGCACGTGTGCGAAGCGATTCAAATGCCACTCCCCACCAATCGCAACCCTATGAGCCCAGACACACGATTTGTATACGAAGAGGAGGTTGGCAGCGGCCTTCACGCAGACTTAAGAAGAACGTTCTAGCGGGAAGGAAGAAGGATGCATTCGAGAACTGCAATCGGGACAAGCCAGACTGGGTCTCACAGCCATATCCACCCATAGGACATCGGACACGACCCCGAAGTACTGTTCCATCCACCAATCTACATACCGAGTACTGACCGGTCTGGACTACCCAGCGACCAGCGCCAGGACAGCCCGCCGTCGACAACACTCGAACCCAAACCCAAGCAAAACAAGACAAGAAATCCTGACCATCCCAACGACCAGCGTCAAGATGGCCCACCGCCAACCACAACCCCACCAGCATGGCGACCAGCGCTCATGCGAACCTCGGCCTCAGTGCCCGCCGGCGAGAGATCGCGCCTTCGATGTCGCCATCGATCACCGTCTCCAGCCCACCACCAGGGCCACACACGAAGATGAGCTCGCTGCTCAGGCGGTTGTATCTTGTGTCCCTCTTGGACACCACTGTGGCCTCTGGCTGCTTGCACATCCAGGGAGGTCGCTCGCCAGGGTGATCCCTCATGTATGCGAAGGCCCGCTCCAGTTTCGTCGTCTGACTCTCATGAGTGAAGCAGCGGACAAGCGGAACGGCAACGGCGAGGAAAACGGCGACGAAGGACCAGAAGAGCGCGGTGCGGAGGTATTGCCAAACGAGATCGATCTCGTATGCCTTTCGGCGGCGGAAGGTTTCGTGCCAGTCTGTGAAGCCCGACCCAGGCACGTCTGGGTCGAAGCGGCATCGGTCGAAGAAGAGGTCGAGGAGGCGGCCGAAGGTGTTTTCCCAGAATGGGTCGTTTAGGCCCGCCAGCAGGCCAAACGACACCATCATGTAGGTGTTGTGGGCTTGTCGAAAGGAGATCGACAAAGAGAGTCGGCGGATGAGGACGTGGCCTAGGGCCCAGGAGAAGAGGGTGCCGATGGCGATGCGTAGCTCGTTTGAGCTCGCGGCGAAGATGGTGATGAGCACCGGGCTCAGGAAGATGCGCAGCTTGCTCTGCGGGGACAGCATTGTTGCTGTTGTGGTGGTGGTGATGATGGTGATGATGGTGGGAAGAAGGAACTTGGAAATGTCTTGAAAATGAGCAGGTGTGGTGTTTGCTAAAGAGCAAGAGGTGGAGGCGGATGAAATGTTTATATAGTACTAGCTTCTGCGCGAAGATGAGACGGTTGACAATAGCAGCTATTGTTACAATAGGTATGTTGCTGTCTTCACCTCTACTTTCTACAATACCAACTGAACAATGGCGGACCCATGAAAACCACGCCTTCACCCCGGAACGCCAACGAAAGATTACAATAACAAGAAGCTGACAAAAGACAGGGGTCTCGATGTACTTCGCCTTCACCTTCACCCCAGCGTCACGTAGACTCCAGGAACGCACATGTACGCTGCTCACATCAAGACGCGCACCCACGTATACCTCAGCCCTCACCACCCCACTTCCTACCATCCCTCAAACCCCATCGTACCCCCCAACCCCTCCCCTAATAATCACTATACCTCCTCTTCGACAACGCACTCACCCTCGACACCCTTCTACTCGCCCCATCCAGCCCCTCCCCCTCAACAAACAACCTATTATGCACGATCCAATCCTCAAACTCCTGTTCCCTCGTCTCCTCATCTGGATCAATCCAATCCCCCATCTCACTTCCTCCCATAGTAGTAGTAGTAGTAGTATCGCTCATCCTGTTCACGACACCGTCGCGTGAGTGTGAGACCGAGGAACTGGATTGCTCGCGCCAGTGGTGCGGGAGGGGGCTTCTTCCACGGCCGTCGTCGTTGGCGGCGTCGATGGCGCTGGGATCGAGACGTTGGATTTGGGACTTTTTGTACTCGTGTGCTGTCTCTGCGAGGGTCTTTGCGCTGACGCCGGTGCTGTTATTGTTGTTGGTCTTCCAGTTTCGCGGCAGCGTGTACGAGAAGGCTGAGCGTATGCCGCTTGGCTTGCGGCGGAGGGAGCCGCCTACACGGCTGAGCCAGGTTTTGGGACTGGTGTCTTGAGTTGGGGTTGAGGCTGCGTCGGCGGGTGGGGGTGTGGCGAAGGGGGAACTACGGGGTGGCTCTTCGCCGCTGGGACGTTGCATCAAGTGGCAGGAGTGGTCGATTAGCGCTGGCTCTACGCCGTCGGGGAGTTGCTCGTAGGTTGACATGCCGATGCTTACGCCGCGTTTGCGGCGGAGGGAGAAGAATCGAGTTGGACCGGTGAAGGGGAGGTGCTGGGTTGGAGTGGGTGTCGTGGCTTCTACAGGTGTTTGGTTGGTATCGGGTTGGAGGTCTTCGTTCCGTTGTGCGGTTTGGCGGACTGCCTTCTTTTTGTCTTTGCGTTCTTGGTGGCGCTTTCGAATCTATCTATTTGTCAGTATCTAGACTTCTTGAATGTAAGAGATGTATTCCAATGTTGGTAAGCCATATGCGTTACATACTGTGCTGATCAAACCCATCTTGGGCATATTGGGCGAATGCTCCACGACGTGTTTGTTGTTAGAGATGAAGAGTGAGGTTATAGAGAAGAGGACCAGGTGCTCCTGAGTACAGCTGTCAAGTGCAACGTCAAGATGTCCACGGAAGGCTTGTGAAGTTCGGTACCGTGAGTGGGGATGCCGTCAACCAGAGGATGTGGTTGATCGAGGGTCCATGGACATGTCATGGTGCCCACCTCAACACACTATAAGCACGGTGGAGATGTATTTTTCACGTTTCAATTACTCTTTCTCTTGAATTTGCTTCCACGTTAATCGTGTGACCTTTCGCGATCTCTTAAACCCAATGCAACTTGGTGGGTCCAACGCTCATATGCAGAACCCAACTCATTTCTTATCTCCATATGCTACTGCTGACGCTGTCCATGAATTGCTGTTCTTGGTACCCGACGGTTTTGCCCTTCAACGTCCCAAACTGCGAAGGTAATCCACTGTCAACGTTTGACTGTCCGGAATTGAAGGGAATGGGTCTGTAGGCCGTGATTGAAATGAACCACCACCACCGCGACCAACAGGAGAAGAAGCAAGACTCAAATGAGCGGCTTGCGCCTCCTGGAATGACACATCATCTGACGCCTCGTCCCGACTTGTAGCTTTGAGATCAATCTTCGCAATGGTAGCGATGCGCTTAAGACTTTCGATCTGCTTCTCCAAAGCATTCTGCGATGTCTTGTGCGTGTTCTCAATCTCTTTACTGCGAAGATCTTGCCTGTCCTTGAGGTCTTTCCTTGCGCTTTTGTAAGAGGAGAGAAGCTTTCGGCTGAGCTCATGCTCTTCCTCGTTTAACTTTCGTAGCGCAGCGTGATCCGCGTCTTCGCCCTTGTCTTCGGAGATTTTCATCCTGTGACCCATTATGTTTTCTCGAGCTAGGGCATGATCGCGCACTGTGTCCAAAACGTCCGTTTCGGCTTGTCTATATGTCCAGGCCTGAACACGTTCACTCGCTCTCTTGTCATCATTGACACGGATAGCCTTTTCGCAGTCTCCGATAGCGTCTCTGATGGCTTTCGTAAGCCGGAATTTTTGTTCTGCCGTCATGGTTTTGGCCGCCGCGCTCGAGCTTTCCTATGTGTTAACGTCAGTCCATGGTCTGTGAACGACCACAATCAAGCAATACGTACCAGTTGTACCTTCTCCATAAGATCGCTCAACGCATCGCTACGGTTGTAGCATTCCTTCAGCAGTCCATCAATGACAGAGCTCATTCCCTCCTTCACCTCTTCGAGCGAGGCCATTTCAATCGCGTTGCCTTGCTTGAGGCCTGCGATGATGGCATCTGATGACATGATGGGCTGGCGCGACGGTTTTGGGTGTCGCCGCAATTTCTGTTTCGGTCGGTGTTGTGGTCGCGCTGTGTTGGTCGGAATCAGAGAGCCTTCCAGAAAGAGCAGGAGCGACTAGCGCGAACTCGCTTGGTCAAAAGTGAAAGTGAACGCGACGACACACACCAGCGGTTTTACAGTTCTGCATATGTAGAGCTGACATCAAGTTGATGGTGCTAACTTCTGCTATGCGACCTCATCAGCTCATCGAGTCGCGCAGTCTTTAGTCAGACTCAGGTTCAGCATCAGAGTCCTCCTCCTCAAGCCCACCAACATCTCCCCAGCGACTAACAACCTCGCTCTTCGCCAACTTCAGAATGGCCTCATAGTACTTGATCTGCTTCATCAACATCTTATCCCCATCCCACTGCCTCTTAGCGACTTTCTCCTCATCCCTGGCCCTGTGGTTCTCAAGCACCTTCTGCTCTTCCTTGATACGCACCAGCTCCGCTCGACACAAGTCGTACGTCTTATTCCACAGCTCTTCATTCTCGTGCTCCCAGAGATCGCCGATGCCGATATAGATGGCCTTGATCCTTTTGTACTCCTTGTCGAGGTCTTCAGATGCTGCCTCTGCGGAGCGCAGTTCGGTCTGTTGTTCTTTGGCGAAGACTTCGTCGGCTGCGTCGCGTTGCGCTGAGAGCTCGGAGAGGATTTGCTCGCCGTGCTTGACGAATTTGCGGAGATCAGGCATGGGAGATTTGGATTGGAGGCGGGTTATTGTTGCGAGTGCCTGATTCAGATTTAGCGGAGTAGAAGATAGAGGGTTGTTGTACTTACGATACGTAGTTCTTCTTGCAGGTGGCTGCAGTTGGAACAGTCCTTCTTGACTTTGTCGCTCGCTGCTTCAACCTTGTGGCGCTTGTCTGCGTTGGCGGTACTACTTGGCTTAGGTCTTGCATGGCTGGACGCAGGTTCTCGAGCGTGTGAAGTGGATTGGGCCGGAGTTGATGACTGGAAGCGGATCACTGGAGCAACCCACTCATCCGGGAAGTAGTCTTCTGCCTCCTCCCCATCTAGCTCGATACCAGAGAGCGCAGCCATGTTGCGAAGGCATACCATCTGCCGGTCCCATGCGGCGCACTCTCCGTCATACACCTCCTCGGCCTTCTCAATTCGGGCTTTTAGAGTTGCTCGGATATCTGCTTTCTTTGTCTTGACAGCCTTGAACGAGTCGGCGATGAGCATCATTTCCTTTACATCTTCCTCGACAAGCGCGTTATGAGCTGGAGTGACGACCTGGTTCGTAGGCAGGCGAACGTGTAAGGCTATTCTTTTGCCCAGGATGACTTCTTCTGCCTTGATGTTTTCGTACCATTCGTTCATTGACTCGATTTCGGCGTTGAAGGATTGGTGTGCGTCTTTGACCGCGTCGTTTTTCTTGGTGCAGCTGTCGCTCTTAGCTTTCTCACAACCAGCGATACCGTCTCTGTTGGTCTTTGCCAGCTGTGCTCTATCTTCCACCGGAACCGTTTCGATTGACTCTGGGCTCTCCTAGTATCTCAATATCAGTCTCACATTCGTGCAAAGTTGCGAGCAAACATACTGCAACTGCCTCCTTCTCCTCTGGCTCACTCGACGCACTGTCGTAGCCATAACGCACCGGATCCGGGCCGAGCGTGCGAAGAATGTCCAAACGAGAGAACATTTCATTCAATTCGCTGGAATATTCGTCATCCCTATAGGTGTAACGGGCGTCGGGTGGGTTTGGCCGATAGCCATCTGTAGGGAGCTGGCGTAGGCCGGCTAGCATCGCGGCGAGAGGCTCTGGGAGCACGTCAGGCGCTTCAGGCGCTTCAGGCTCGTCTTGTGCTTGGTTGTCGTTGTAAACACAATCTTGATCAGCATTTACCAAGCCTTGGCCCTCGTTGTGAAAACGTCCGTGTGCGGCATCGCGTGCACTTATCCGGCGAGAGCGTAGTTCTGCAGAGGTGTGTCGCATCCCGTAACCGTCATAGAAGTACTCCTCGTCTTCGCAGTAGGCTGGAGACTGGTTTTCATCGTAGTAGTCAACGAACTCATCTCCGACTTCGACCCAGTCTATGGTGTGGTGGTGTCGCGGCATCCTGCCAGCACTAACAGCGACGACGCCGTGAGTTCTCGTTGTGTGTGTGCACAATGTCGTGTTGTCGTACTAGGTCGTGACGTTCGGGGCGGAGAGCGCAGTGCCAGCAGAAGCTCCTAGGCCGCGCGGCACCTGTTATCGTGAGATTCGGATTCATCGATGAAAGTGAAGATGAAAACCAGCAGCCTCATCGTTCATTCCATAACCAGCGCGCAGCGAGCCGCAACCTTCCCTGCTCTTTCTCATGCCAGTAGCCGTGCCGTTAGATTCCCATTTGGACCATTCAACGTGATACTTGCTCGTCAAGAGCATAAGCGCAGCTCGATGTGAGCGGCATAGCAGTGTTAGCCTAATTCCTGAACGTCGCAGACATCTATGCCGTTCTCTGGTGAGAACCGTGAGCTGCAGTAATGCATTCCGTCGAAGCATGACGTTGAATGAGCGAGTAGAGCATATGAAGGAAAGAAAGAACTAAAGTGACTTGGGTGAAGAAGTAGACATATGAGCAGAAGGCACGCCCACTAGTCCTCCAGATTCGAGGTGAGAGAATCTCAGATGCTCACCGACAAAGAAAAGCGGTGAGGTACTAACATCCCGAGCCTCGAAAGCAGCATGTAATAGAAGAGAACAGATGGTAAACAGTTAGAACCAAGGCAGCAAAAGCCCTACCAATGTCAGCGTCTTACCTCTCATCCCCTCTCACCTCTCACCCAAAGCCCACACCATCACTTCCAGTCACCTTCCCCACATCTGCATTATTTCAAAATCGTTAGATGGAGTTGCAATAGAATACTTGTACATGCAATCGAAAATGCTCTAAACCAGCACCTACGCGATCTACCTTAACCGAAAATTGGCCATCTGAATCATACATAATCCGGTTCCTTCGCCCAAAACCAAATCTTCATATCCACATAGTTATCAACGCAATGTGTCGATTGAACACACAACGCTGAGACCAACTACGCTATCCTCTTCCATTCCATACTCCATCTATACCCTAAGGAGCTTGGCGGCGTAATCCACAATCAAGCTCTCACTGGGGAAGCTCATCTCCTCGAGCTTCTGGGCATATGGTGTGGGCACCTCAGCACCAGTAACACGGGCAGGGGGCGCCTCCAAGTAGTCGAAAGCGTACTCGCAAGTAAGCGCCATAATCTCAGACGCGACACCGAAGGATGGGAATCCAGACTCTACGCAGAGCATGTGGCCGGTCTTCTTGACGGACTTGACAATGGCCTCGACGTCGAGGGGCTTGATGGAGCGCAGGTTGATGACTTCGGCTTCGACGCCGTACTTGGACTTGAGTTGTTCGGCGGCGACGAGGGATTGGCCGACGCAGCGGGAGAGGGTGACGATGGTGAGGTCCTTGCCGGGGCGCTCGATCTTGGCCTTTCCGAACTGGGGGTCTGTTAGTATGAGAATAGAGTGGGATGATGGCGGGGTGTCTTACGGGAATGACAAAGTCGTCTCTCTGGGCCTCCTCGCTCATGGGGAAGGACAGACCGTACAGAAGTCTGTGGATGTTAGTACAGTCTCTCGTCTCGCGGCGCTTGTAACCTACTCGTTCTCGAGGACCACGACCGGGTTGGGGTCGCGGATAGCAGCCTTCAACAGACCCTTGGCATCCTCGGCGCTGTATGGCGAAACAACCTTCAATCCAGGAATGCTTCCGTACCACGCAGTGTAATCTTGGGAATGCTGAGCAGCGACACCAGACGCGAAACCGTTGGGACCACGGAAGGTGATGTTGCAGGGCTGGATACCACCGGACATGTAGTGCGTCTTTGCGGCGGAGTTGATAATCTGGTCAATGGCCTGCATGGCGAAGTTGAAGGTCATGAATTCGCACTGTCGTCGCTGTCAGATTTGCTTTTTGGGTCATGATAGCTGAGGGACTCACAATGGGGTGGAGACCAGCGAGCGCGGCACCGACGGTCAGACCGGCGAAACCTGACTCTGTGATGGGAGAGTCGATTACCCTCTTCTCACCGAAGCGGTCGAGCAGGCCCTTTGTGACCTTGTAGCTGTGGCTCAGTCAGCACCGTCCATTGATATTCCGTTGTGTATAGCCTGCGATGTATTCTCTGCCCAATTGGATCCTCCTCTTTCTTATCGCAGACATGACATCTCTCTTCTTCATGGTGGGACGTACGCTCCGTTGTATTGCGCGACTTCCTCTCCGAGCACGAAAACCTTGTCATTGCGCTCCATCTCCTCGGCCATGGCCTCGTTGAGCGCCTCTCGCACCGTCATCTCCTTCTGGCCCGACGCATATCCTCTCCTCGCAATTGACGGTGTAATGGCTGCGGCGCGGAAAGCTGGTCGGAAGGCGGGCGCTGGCCGCGACGCCGAGACGAGGCGGGAGGCGGGTCGGAGGAGCCTTGAAGCAGCCATTGTGGGGTGTGTGTGAGGGTGAAGGTGTGGTGAGGAAGTGCCGTGGGCGAGTGATGGCCGCTGAGGCTTGTGGTGGTTGCTGGGGCTTGCTGGACAATTTCTTGATGCGAAGATCCGAGTCGTTGGGGCCGGCGCTAACGATCAAAGCTCTCGAGCAGGGACCACACTATAGCGAGAACACCCGACGTGCGTCTGGATGCTCCCTGGATGGTCCGCCCCAACAACGTCGCTTTCACCGCAGTCAACCCTTCCATACGGCATGTACTGGATAGTGATGCAACAGTCGCTTGCAAATTGTACGATAATGATCAAACATTCAGATGACGATTACTTCTTCTATTCTCTATAGCTCCACATTTCGCGTTACCATGACCGTCCCTAGACCGTGCCCTACTTCCAAATATTACAGTATATATGCGCGTCTCCAATGCGCGTGATGCAAATGCCAGGAGATGATGCTCCTATATCGAAGGAATAGCTCGCAGACCAACAAGGTCCTAGATGCGAAGAGAAGTCTAATGCAAAGGGCGAGAACTGAAAACTTATGCGTCGGCGGGTTTCCTTCCGACCATAAGGTACATGGGGGTGAAGAGCTTCTCCCTGCCACCGGCAACAAGGCAGTCGGCTGCGAGGGCAAGACTGTCGGCAGTCTTCTGGGTACCCTTGGGGGCGAGACCGATCACCTCAAGACCACCGACGAACTTGTGGATGAGGCCACGTCCGACCTTGGTCATGCGAAGAATGGTGGGGATGTCGCCAATGGTGCTGATGTACTTCAGCTGGCCAGAGAGCGGCCAGTACCACGGGTAAGGGTCGTCCCTGTCTGCCAGATCCTCGTTGTGCTCCATCACGAAGCCGGCCTTCTTCATAGCATCGAGCGCGACCTCAATCTTCTCCATGTTGGAGATACCGTCACCGATCTCAATTCCAAGACGGATCTCGCGGTGGTGGGGGTTGTCGTTGTCGTACTTGTCGGTCATGAGCCACTCGTAGACACCAAAGACACCGCCGGGCTTGAGAACGCGGAAGATCTCGCTGTAGATGCCCTCGAGCGATGGTGCGTGGACAGTGGCCTCGATGGCGTAAACGGCATCGAAAGAGTTGTCGGGGAAAGACATTTGCTAGGACGAGTTAGTAAGAGGTACTCAGGGTGTGAGGGTATATCATACCATAAAGTCACCCTTGGTGAACTTGAGCTTGTCTGAGAGGCCCTCCTTCTCGGCGTAGGCAGTGGCACGCTCAATCTGGTAGTCGTTGTTGTTCAATCCAACGACGTTGACACCAGCGAACTTGACAATCTCACGGGCGGGTCCACCAACACCGCAGCCAACATCCAAGACGCGCATGTTGTCCTGGAGGTTCATCTTGTGGGCAAGGTAGTGCTCGTGGCGGGCAATGGCCTTGTAGAAAGACTCGCCATAGGCGTAGCGGGCGAAGTGGAAAGACTGTCCCCAGCCGTACTCGTAGAGGTCGGTTGCGAGGTTGTAGTAGTGTCTTGTGAGGGTAGCGTATTCATCTCGTCGTTCCTGGATCTGTTAGTAAACACAGTACGCAACAATGCCACATATGCGTACCTTGCGGGTCTCCTCGGTCTCGTCGCCAGCGGCCTTGTTGTCCCAATGCTTGAAGTACTCGTCGACAGCGGCTTGCTGGGCAGCCTTGTCCTTTTGCAACATGGCAGTCATGCCACCGCGAGCCTTTGCAGACTTGCCGTGCATGGCCTTGTTGAACTCGGCATCGCGAGAATGGTCTTCCTTTTCGAGCGCAATGGGAGACATGATGGGTATTAAGAGTGATATGGGTTTATGCGGGGAGTGAAGTGAATGAAACTGATAGTAGAATAAACAATTCGAAGAGGACAGGACCCTGAAACTTTATAAAGACGACCCCGGAGAGGAAAGAGCGGTATGGGTAGGAGATTGGGACTTGAATTTCTTAGGGGGTAACTGGCGTCGCCCAATCACGACCGACTCTGTACGCGGCCCTGGTCAACAGCGCTAGCGGTCGGTCGTCGCCACCCGAGCGCGTGAAAGCCAAGACCGTAAGAGGCGTATAGCGTAGTGCCTAGATTTCTACCGTCACTCCCATACCATCTGTCGCAACAACCACCGCGCCCCACTACGCGTACTCGACGTCCCCAGATTCGCTCGGCGAAGTCGCGAGATTACACTCAAAACTCAGCCACTGTCGCACACCCTACGCAGCAGGCCTCACCATGCCGCCGCAAATCAAGAGCGACCTGAACCGTACGTCATGTCTTTTTCCACCGCGCGTAGCATACACTAACTTTTGTAGGATCGGGTTGGGAAACTACCGACTTTCCGTCCGTCTGCGAGAAATGCCTGCCGGATAGCACGTATGTGCAGATGCTGAAGGAGGACTACGGCGCAGAGTGCAAGATCTGCACGCGACCCTTCACCATCTTCCGCTGGAAGGCCGACCGCACCGCGCGACAAAAGCGAACCAACATCTGCCTCACATGCGCCCGCCTCAAGAACTGCTGCCAGCACTGCATGCTCGACTTGTCATTCGGTCTGCCCATCGTAGTCCGTGATGCTGCGCTGAAGATGGTGGCGCCCGGCCCACAGAGCGACATCAACCGACAGTACTATGCGCAGGAGCACGAGAGGGAGATCGAGGAGGGACGTGGAGCGATGGAGGCATACGAAAAGACGGATGAGAAGGCGCGCGACCTCCTCAAGCGTCTGGCGCAGAGTGAGCCCTACTACAAGAAACAGCGACGTATAGAGGCTGAGGAGGGCGAGAGTGGACAAAAGGCGTTGCCAGCGCCTGGCGGAGGTGGCGCAGGAGGCGAGAGCAGTCACGTCCCTGGACCGATCAGAACCCGAGATTCACGGGGTACACCTGCGCGAGGAGGCATGAGGCCTGGAAGAGGAGGCCGCATGGGCGGCGCATCCGCGGAGCCAAACCCGCAAGACTGGCTGCCACCTTCGGACCCCAACGTCGCATCGCTCTTCGTCACGGGTGTGGAAGACGACCTTCCTGAACACGAGCTCCGCAAGCACTTTTCACAATACGGCCAACTTCGATCGCTGGTATGCTCACATCGAGCGCATTGCGCATACGTCAACTTCGTCAAGCGGGAAGACGCTGAGACAGCAGCGGGTACACTAAAGGGCAAGGTGGTAATCAAGGGCTGTCCTATGCGCGTCACTTGGGGCAAGCCGAAGCAGCTGGACAGCTTGGATCAGAACGTCAGGATGCAGTACGCAAAGGAGGGACGACAAGTGGCCGGCTCATCGCGACGGGCAGCCGCTTCTCAGGCTGCGATTGGGGCTGCACCACAGAACAGCCTGGACAGCATGGTCGTTGCACCTCCACCGGGAGCTGATGACGACGTTCAGTACGCCAGTTTGGCCGGAAACTAGGTCCTTATTTCTTGCATTGGGTCGGCGTTTTGGACTGTATGGGTATCATGATTCATTCGATGTGCATAAAAGCCTAGGAGGAACAGCATTTTGTGCCTCCCAATGTACTCTTTCCCTTGCCCTTTTTGATATCCTCGTTGTCGCCTCGCTCGGTATGCTCGTGTATCCGCAGTTCTGCCTGTGTTAGCCTATTGATCCCGATACCATCCATAGAAAGCATACTGTAACTTTCGCCCTCTGGGTCCGCTGCTTGCCCTTGAACGACGTTTTCTCTCAGGAACTTGGCCACCTCCTCCGCATGTACTAATGACGATTGCAACTCTTCGCTTCCGATTCGTAGGTTGCGGTTCGCCTCAAACTTGTTACGGGCTTCGGTGCGGGCGGCGAAGAGCGTGTTCATGTCGCCTGTGCTGTGTGAGCGCGGGAAGTAGGTCAATGTCGCATTCCGTACCTTGAAAGGCGATGCGCGCGGATCGCAGCAGATTCCGGTATGCAACTAGCGCCATCTTGTGTAGAGTCGGGGCGGTATGCAGTGAATAGAGCGTTGTAAAGAACAACCAGTTCCGCTCGGAACTTCCGCGAGGAAAGTTGGCACACGTGACATCGTTCCCGCCAGGGTCCCCCCGGCTGGCGATCCGACACCCGCTGACGTCGCGCAGCTGAAAGTGGTCCACACACGAGCAACGCTTCGGTGGCCTCAACGGTAGAAATCTAGCTCCCACACCGGGCTGCGATCTACCAGAGCCAACATGGTGTCCTTCTGGCCTTGGAAGGTACGTCGAATCTAACTACGCGCTAATACGCTTGCTGACTGTGGCAGGGTAGCGAAGATGCCGCCTCGTTCGAGAGGACGCTCAACACTCTTACTGGCAAGATCAACAGAGCCGCCGCGCGCAATGACAAACAGAAGCAGCTCTCGCGACGCGCTCGCGTCATGTGGACGCTATACACCGGCTTCGCGTATATTCTGGTCGCGGTCGTGCTCACTTTCGTGACGGGCTGGCAGAATTGGGGTCCCATTGAGGGAAGCGTGGTGGCTGGCGGGCCTGTCTTGTATGTCCATCGTCATCGCAGCAGGGAATATATCTAACCATCCAGGATCTACGGCCTCCGTTACGCGCTCATGAGCTACTTCGACTACCGCATCCGCAACACTGAAGCCTACCTCAAGAAACTGAACAAAGAACGTGACGCTACCATTGAGCGCCTCAAGGAAGCCACCAAGTACAACTCGACCCAACAATTGCTAGAGAAATATGGCGCCTCGCCCAAACAACCCGAGCAGCCACAACAAGGCGACTCCCCCGGCCGCAGAAAGTCCCAAGGCCCTCAGAAGCCAGCGCCGCCGCCAGGCCCCCGCACTGGCATGCCTCCTCCCCCAACGGCAAACATCCAGCGACCCCAGCCACAGCAACTCCCGCATACCCCACAGAAACCTCCGTCGAACGTCTCATCCCCTCAAGGCCCATCCCCGCCACAGCAACTGCCCCCACCAGAAGCCCCAGGCGCCGAATTCGCCCCGAACGCATTCAACACCGGCGCCGTCGACCTAACCAAGCAATACACCACCGATTCCCCCGCAGCCTTCACACAAACTCACTGGTACGACCGCATCCTCGACGCTCTCCTTGGCGAAGACGAAACACAGGCTAAGAACCGCTTCGTCTTGATCTGTTCCGAGTGCCGGCTTGTAAACGGGCAAGCGCCGCCCGGTGCACGTACGCTTGAGGATGTTGGGAGGTGGAGATGTGGTGGGTGCAGTGCGTGGAATGGGAAGGAGAAGCCGCGGGAGGATGATGTTACGAGGCTTGTGAGGGATTGGGAGGCGGAGCGGAAGGCGAAGGATAGACTGAGTGGAGATGGGGGTGTGAAGGAGATGGAAGAGGTGGAGGATGAAGGTGTGGTTGTTGAGGCTGAGGCTGAGGCTGAGGCGGATAGTAGTGGTGAGGATACGCCGCCGCCCAGTCGGAATACGAGGAGTAAATCCAAGGGGAGGGGGAAGAAGTAGGGAGGTTATGGTGGGCATGGGCGTCTAGGTATGTCGGGATGGCATCAAAAGGGCGCGGATAAGGGGGGTTATGTATACTATATCGATATGGCTTACACTATGATAGTAAGCTTTCTCAGAAGACATGGGAAGACCTGAAGATTTCGAATCGTCTCAACCTGTCCTCTTGGTTGTAGCACGTGCACCGCTGGTCGTGTATAAATACCTCGCTTTACTCCCTCTCTTCCTGTCTCTTATCCCTCACCCTCCGCCCGGGTTTTTCCAAAAACACGGCCGCATCTGACCATGGTGTGCGGCTTCCTCCCGCGCCTCTCCATCATTTTCTCAAAATCTTCATGCCTTTCTCGATGGGCTGTGCTTCTGCCTCCGCTTCTTCCTCCGGGTTCCTCCAAAAGGTCTAGGAGACCATGCCATGTTGTGCACTTCCTGCGCCTCTTTATCATTTTATCCAAAAAAACAGCCTCAGATATGACGTATGGTGTGCGCTCTTCCTGCGCCTCTCCATCATTTTGTCTAAAATACACATGCCACCAACACATGATGTGTTCTTCCTGTGCTGCTTCAACATCTTCTCCAAAACAAACTGGGTTCACATGCATGGTGTGCTCTTCCTCCTGCGCCTTCTCAAAACACTGCCGTCTGCTCAAAAATTCCATGCAGGCGTTCGAATGTCCTGGCGACTGTCCTGTCTTTTCGAAAAAGGCTGCCCTGTCTCGGAAATGTCTCCGTTTCTGGAACGACCAAAAACATGTTACTATGGACGCCATGGCTGTGAGAGGAGTCGACAAATCGTAGCGGAAGCTGTGCATGGCCGGTCTAGGAAAATTCGTTATGAATATTACATGGCCGGTCGCTGTTCTCCAAAGGCTGTAGGAAGAGGAAGCATGTGGTGCAAAAAACTATCAGGTGTTCCTGGAATGGTTGAGAAGGAGTCAAAAATCATATGCGATGATGTCATGAGCTGTGCCTGTCTGACCCAAAGAATTAAGCAATTCCAACATGGAGTGCGAAAAGGTCTTTTCGACGCGTCCATGTGTCGTTCTGGCGGATATATAAACCTCACCGCGTCCTCTGGCTTCCTGTCTTCTGTACTCCACACCTTCCTGTGTTTTACCAAAAAATTCTACTGCCCTCGTCCATGGTGTGCGCTCCTCCTCCTCCTTCCTATATTTGACCAAAACCTCGTGGACAACATGACATGGTGTGCGCTCCTCCTTCCGTGGACCTCTAAAAAAAAGCATCAAGACAAGCGATGCGTGTGTGTCGCTCTGGAAACAAAAGACCTGCGCAACAAGTTCATGTGCTCGTCCCTCTCTTCTTCGACTTCCAAAAACTAAGAACAAAGTACACATGTGAGGACTACCGAGGTCGTGCTTCCACAAACCTTCTGGGAAAGTGTGGGATGTGTCTGCCTCATCCTTTGTCTTAAAACACAGGCACAATCCAGAAAATGCTCGCGATCCCCCCGATGGGCGGTTCTTGGCGCGTGGGTGGTGTATAAAAGCCCCATCTGCGCCGGCTCTTCCTGACTTTTTTATCCCACACCTCTCCGGGTCTGTTTACCAAAAGTACGAAGTGAAGTATTACATGGCGTTCTCCTGCCTCCTTCTTTCTCAAAATGTCCCGCGACAACACCATGTGTGGTTGTGGTCCACCAAAGTGATCACCACGCCGTTCATGAACGGGGCTTTGTCGGTAGTCGGAGTATAAAATGCTCGTCTTCGCCGGCTGTTCCTGTCTTTATCATCCTACAGTTTCCTTCACTTCTGTCTAAAAGGCCTGGAACATCTGATAATGGCGTTTGTCTGCCTCCTTCTTCTCAAAATCTCCCGCCTGCAAAGCCATGTGTGGTTGTGATCCACCAAAAACGCCACCGTACCATTCATGAGCGGTGCTTTGTCGGTATTTGGAGTATAAAAACCTCGTCTTTCCCGGGTCTCCTCATCTTCATTATCTCACACCCCTCTGGTGTTTTTCCAAAGCGGTATGGATGTACCTCATGGTGTTCGCCTGCCTTCTCGGTCTCAAAAACCCGCACCTACGAGAGCATGTGTGGTTGTGGTTCGCCAAAACGCCTACAAACATCCAGAATGTTGTCCTGGCTGCTGGCCTCCAAAGACGCATCAATGTGGACATATGACTGTCTGGACGGTTGGAAACACTGTAAATCGGTTCAGCTCGCAGTCATGTTCACAAAACCAAAAGATATCTGCGTCATGCTTCGGACTTGCGAAACCAAAGAAAGCAAAACTCATGACTGCGCTACTGGATTTGGTGGTGTATAAAACACTGCTCTGCTGCTGTCCTTCCTACTTCCTTATCACAACACTTTCTGTTCCTTGCTTCACAAACTGCTCGCACACGATGGATGTCTGCCTCCTCCTCTTTCCACCCAAAACTACTGAACCTTCTTTTCGATGAGTGCGCGCCTCCACTCTAAACGAATTAGATGAATTGCTATGTTCTCTGTCTCCTGCCAGCCCCGAAGGTCACCAAAACGAAACAGGCTCCAGAAAATGATTGCTCAAAATTTATCACGTGCCTTCCTATGGATCTTCCGCTTCTTCTCTTCCCTCAAAAAGGCTATAGGATCATCTCACATGGTCTCCCGGCTTTTTGAGCTGGGGAGCGTGTATATAAACACCTCTTGGGCTGGGTTCTCTTACTTCTTCACATCTACATCTTCTTGCATCTCACTTCAAAAGAAGTGACCAGCTTTTTCATGTCTCTGCCTCTGCGTTTCTGCTGTTACATCACTAAAAAGCCCCGTAAGAAAGATTTATGGGAAAGCTCTCCGTCTCTTCTACCACCCCACCAAATCACGGTCGAAGCAATGAAATGATCTGCCTTCTGCGCCTGCTTTCACTTTATCAAAATGCGGCACATACATCTGCCATGGGCTCGTCCCTCCGCCTCTGCCTTCGCATTACCAAAAGTCTGATCATACTGGTATATGAAAGACGAGAAGGATTGTTTAAAAGATTAGGAACTCGGCGACATGTTCTCCGCTCCTCCAGATCTCTGCGAAAAGTGAATGTCGAAAGCTTGATGGAAGCAAGAAAGCTTTACTACTTTCATTCGCACTTCCGCAGTATTTAGACTGCGGAGTTGCATATAAAAGCTCCTCTTCGCTGCTGCTCCTTCTTACCTTCTACATACCAAATACCCTAAAAACAAAAATTTCAAATTCATCAATCCTGCTGCCATGGCTGCGCTCTCTTAAAAACGACGCATGCTGGTCGCAAGGTGTTCTGCGAAAAGTGTGGAGCAGTATTCTAAATGGTCCTCAAGAGACAGACATGCTGGAAACGGAGAGATGCGTACGTCATGTCTGTGTCGCTTCTGGAACCAAGAATGCACATGTCGATACTCGATGGTGTGCAGTAGAGTGGTGTGTATAAATACTTCTCTCTGCCCGGCTCTACACTTCCTTCCTACACACCACTCTTTTTCCGTGGCTTCTCAAAACAGTGTCGTTCATCTGTCATAGCTCGCTCTTCTCCGGTCTGTTTCAAAACTTCCAAAACGGCGCCAAGTTCGTCTTATGACCTCGGTGTCTTTTCCAAATCCGAAACAAAAATTTCCATAACTGCAGCGGTCTGCAAGCCCCTCTAAACTGCTTGAACTGTTCAACAAAGATATTATGGGAAGAGTCATGTCTCTAGAATCGGAACTTCCACAGCGATATGTCCCGTCCCCTCAAAACGTTGCACGCTCCGGCGTATGAGACAATAATCCGAAAACATCTTGTCTCATGGCTCTGTGGACTTGGCAATGGGTATATAAATCTTACCGACCTTGCGTCTCTTCTCCTCAAATGACAATCCTTTAAAACGCTGTATCCTTCGAAACAGTAACTGGTTCGACCCATGGGCGAGACTTCCGTTCCTTTCGCGCAAAGCTTCGTCATGATTTGCTCATGGTACATTAAAAGAAGCATGTAGACTTCTCATGTGTGCGTGCCCGGTGGTGCTTTCGAAGTGAAACAAATACAGCCCGGCATCGTGCCGCCTCAAATATGCACCACCGCGGTGAATGAACAAGCCGCCGGTGTTGTCTTTCCCACCTTTTCTCACTACCGTCACGTGCGATCGAGGCTTGGCTGATGTATAAATGCCTCTCTTCGGCTCCTGACCTTCTGTTCCTTCAATACACATCTTTCTCCCTGCTTCACCAAATTGTCGAGCACTTCGACACATGATTCTGCCTTCTCTGCCTCTGGCAGTCTTTCCGAAACCAACAGGGTTCACATGCATGGACTTGCTGCGCTCTCGAAGATTTCCATTACTGTTGTCATGATCCGATCCGCGGAAAGTCTAGTTAATGCCGCTTCGCTGCGGACTGTTGGTAGAGTGTGTATAAAGCCTTCCCCTGGTACTGCTCCTCTCTTCTTCTTTCACAAACTCCTTGTCCATGATTCTCCAAAACTTCCATTCCGACCCCATATGATTGGATAACCTGTCGTCTTTTCAAAGATACTCAAATAAGTATCGCGACGTCGTATGGCTGTGTCCGTGTTCTAGGCAGGATACGAAAGCGGTCAGTACCTCTTTTATGTTTTCTGGGCTTGGAAGCTTCAAAAACAACGCTGTACGACCTGGCTATCCTTCGGAGCTGTTGTGTCGACACTAGCTGGGGAGGAAATGATATCGCAACTGCCAGATTCAATCAACCAGACAATTCGCACATATTGAAGTTTCCACACATCCGGCCCTAGGCGAGCACTGCTTCTAAGATGAACGCTACTCAAAACCAGAATGCAGTTCAATCATGGAAGGTTGTATCTTGGTGGTCACGGCTATCATGACGCTGCAGGAAAGCGGGGCTGCTAGCGTCGAAGCAAGATATAAATCCCGCCGTCTGGCCGACCTTGTTCCCCATCACACTGCTTCTCTATCTTACCAAAAACAAAGGAACCGATTACTATGTCTGGCGTCTTCTGAGCAGCCTCCAAAAGATTTCAAAACACCCACAGACCTTTTTGATGTGTCGAGCATCTC